CTTTGAAACCTCCGTGTACTGTTGGGATCCTATCCCCAACCCTTTCCTAACAGAGACAACTACTATCCTGATTTTATCACTTCCTCACTTATGAGTTTTACCACATTTAGTTTCACAAGCTTTTGAATGTTACACAAAAAGAATCATCCTGGATATTCTCTTCTGCAATTTATTTTTCCACTTAACCACCATTATGTTCGTCAGGTTCATTCATGTTGTTTCTACAGCTCTGCCTTACAATTTTTTATTGCTGGATCATTCCATTATTTCCACAATTTCTTTAGCTTTTCTATTGTTGGTGAATATTTGGGTTGTTTCCAATTTTTTTTAACTGCTATGAACGTCTTTTCTGTATCTTCTCTGAAATTTTCTAGGCTATATATCCAGAACTGGTATTGCTGGATGAAACAGTTTGCACATCTTTACCAGTTAACTGAAAATTGTTTGAAAATCAGTTGTATCAATTTGTACTTCATCATCACTGCATAAACATTCCAGTTACTGACATCCTTACCAACACGACACTATCATAATTTTCTTATTTGTTTTTGACTCTAACCCTTCTCCTTTAGCTCTGTCTACCACTTCTGAGCTGACGACCACTAAATGTTTATCTCAAGCTTGTATCTTTCTCTTATGCTCCACATCCATAGGTTCAACTGCCTATTTGATATCTGCTCCTGTGTGTCTTCAGACAGAGCAAATATAACACATATCACACTGAGCATATCTTTTTCAGTGGATTGTACCATCTTTACCCTCATCATCAGAATGAAGAATCAAGACATCACCCTGGACTTGCTTGGACAAAGAAACCTCTGTTAATAGGATAGATGTCACTATGGAGCAGCAGTTAAGACTGAGTATGCGCTTCACCATGGCCTATACCCTCAACTACAATGAATACGGCTTTACATCTCCTGGGGCCTCCATCAGCCTCTACTCCTGAGTGAGAACAACATGGAGCAGAACGCTGCTTGCACACAAGGAGCATGTAGCATAAATAAAATAAAATGTTTGCTGTTTCAAGTCACTGGAAATTTGAAGTTACTTGTAACTACAACATAACCTAGACTATTCTAACAAACATACCCTTATTTCCATCTTTATGACTGTTGAACACATACAAGCAGCAGGGCTAAAGAATTTTCCACTTCCCTTGGAGTCCACCGCTATGAGATTTGATTTTTTTTTTTTTGCAACTTCCTGAATATACTCTTATGTTGGCATACAAATAATAGCCTTTGAATGCCCAACTTCAGAGTGTGCTGAGTTCTTTCCAAGTGGCATTAGTTGAGGTTTTGGCACTTTCTTTCAGAGCACAGCCATCCTCTATCTGCAAAAAGTCAGCTGTTATCTTCTTTCCAAAGACATCAAATCCCAAAATAGCATGAGTTGCGAGGAGGTTAATATATTCCTGGCAAAGCCCAGGGTCAGGTTTCAAGGGCACCATTTAACATTCAGCTGACTGGGGCACAGAACCCAGACAGTGTCTATAGTTCTCAAAGACCTACACAATTTTGCTTTTAAGGAACTAATCGAATTGAATCCATATTATGACATGAATCAAGTAAGAGGAAATGAGCCTTGAGCACTTTCGAGTGCCAAGCATTTTGTGTATTAAACTGCCTTGTTCGACCTTCAGAACCACCGTGTGTATTAGATATTGTTAGTCTAGCTGACAAGTCATTCTAAGAAAATAGACTGAAGTGACTGGCCAAAGTCACAGTAAAGATTCTGGATATAAAAGTATAAAGGTCAGAGCTTAGGGCTTTTTATAAGGTGTTCTTTTGACTCCAGCATGGGCTCTTAATTATGTCACTTCATTTAGTGTAAGGTTTAAAAATAATACAAATGCAGGCAGATGAGTTGCCTGTGCCCTGACTCATCCATCTAACAAATATTGCCTTCTAGTGTGCATGGATAGCAGTGCTAGAGAGAAAAAATACAAAAAAAGAAAAGATAGGATAAATTAGAGAAACAAATACCTGCCATCAGGGGCTCACGATATACAGTGGTATGCAAGGATGCATAGTCAGGCTAACTACAATGTGAGGTGATAAAGGCATCCATCCATTCATTTCCCAGTGGTATGCAAGGATGCATAGGCAGGCTAACTACAATGTGAGGTGATAAAGGCATCCATCCATTCATTTCCCAGTGGTATGCAAGGATGCATAGGCAGGCTAACTACAATGTGAGGTGATAAAGGCATCCATCCATTCATTTCCCAAACATATATTAAGGGCTGAGGATTTGGAGACAGAATCACAGCATCTGCCTTCAAGGAGCTCAGAGCTCCATGTCACAGGTGGAACAAGGGAAGTTGATCGAATGGGAACATTAACGAAAGCATGGCCAGTTCTCTCAGAGGAGTCAGCACAAACTTCATACCTGGGATAATTTTGGAGATGGGTTTTGAAAGAGAAGTTGATGACAACCAGAAGGAGAGCATTTCAAACCACTAGATTGGCATAAGCAAAGGCTCGGAGGGTAGGGTTGTGAATTCTGTCTTGGAGAGCAGGGAAAGCCTCCCAGAGGAAGCTCCAGTCCACTGAGACTTGGAGGATGACTAAGAACAGATCTAGCTGACAATGTGCAGAAAGTCACCATGAGAGCAGACAGAACAGCAGATGCCAAAGCATGCAGCCCTCTTCAGGGAAACTGCAAGCAGTTGAGCACGCCTGTGGAGCAACGTTCACATGGGCAAGTGCCAGAAAAGAAAACAGGAGAACAATGGCCAGAGGTGCACAATGAAGAACCTTGAATGGTTTGTAAAGGAAACTGATACACCTGTGAACTCCAAATATCTGAAACAGGTCTCAGTCAGTTTAGAAAGTTTATTTTGCCATTGTTAAGGATAGGCCAGTGACACAGCCTCAGAAGGTCCTGGCAACATGTGCTCAAAATGGTCGGCATTTATATGTATAAATGTATAAAAGCTTGCTGCTATACATTTTAGAGAGACATAACATTACATCAATCAATACATGTAAGATTTACATTGGTAAATGTAAATCCAGAAGTGGGGGACAACTAGAGGTAGGAATTATTATTTTAAATGATTGTCTTAGTCAGCTTGGGCTGCTATAATAAATCCCGGAGACTTACAAACCACAGAAATTTAATTCACACAGTTCTGGAACCTGGAAGTTTGAGAGAGAGTGCCAACATGCTTGGGTTATGGTGAGGGCCTTCTTCCTGGTTTATAGACAGCCACCCTCTAACTGTGTCCTCACATGGTGAGGAGCCAGAGTCAAAGACACAGAGAGAGAGAAAGTGCAAGGTCTGCCGTGTCTTTTCTTACAAGGACACTAATCCCATTACAGGGGATCCACCCTCTTGACCTCATTCTAATCGCCTCCCACAGGTTCCACCTCCAAATACCACCCCATTAGGGATTATGGTTTCAACGTAAATTATGGTGAGACACAAACATTTAGTGCAAAGAAATTATTATTTAAAAAGGACATTGTAAGAGGGAAATAAGATGGCCACATTTGCAATTTTAAAAAATCACCCTGGCAGATGTGTGGGATCTCATGAGCAAAGCCCCCTTTTCCACACTGGCAGTAACTATGCATGCTGGCAGATTTGATCCAGCTTCTCCTCTGTGCTTCCTCAGCACCTCCCCTTCCCTTTTTCATCACACTTAGAACACGTTTGGTGATAATTTGCTTGTATGCTGGTATCTCACAATAGAGTGAATTTCTTGAGGACGGAGATTCTGTTGATCTCTGTGTCCTCAGAATTGTCTGGCAAAGAGTGTATATCAAAAAATATTTAAATGAATGTGAATCTATTACACAACCACATGCCATAGCAGCTGGTCTCCATTCCACTTGGGGGAGATTTTCTGTTTTTATATTCCACATTCAAGTGCCTTATCACCAAAGCCTGACCTGGTCCCAGGCCTATGATGTCATGTTTCAAAAGTTCCTCCTTGGACCCTGGGTGGTATTCATGGTCTCTGTGTCCCCCTTACTTCCCAGAACCATCCACATCCAGTTTCCAGTTTCTTTGCCCTTGCCTTGAAATGGACGACAAATGAAATTTGCAAGCCCATCTAGGAAATGACCTCAGTACCCAAGTCATTTCCTGAGGCCATTAATATTCTCAAATGTATGGAGAGGTTGAGGTGTTTTTTATAAAAAATTCCCTGGAACACTGGCAAACCGTTTTCACCCATATAAGTGGATAGAAGATGATGTCACAGCACAGGAGAAGCTCTTGTTGCTTTAGCCCTCCCTTCGTGTTTAACGACGGCCTCAAATTTCTCTGACTTTGGCTCCCTCCTGGAGGCTGATATGCCACATTACTGGGGCTTGCCTCAGACCTTCTGCCGCTTGAGACAATGCACATTCAGAGAGCTTATGGAAGAAGGGGTTGATTTTTCAACATCATAGCATTAGGCTGCACATCTCCTGACACAACCCCGATGAATCCCTTAGCCATTCATCAGTTCAAGCAATATTTATAGAATTCTTACAGTGAACTGTGCTGGATTCTGTAGTCACAGAGGTGTGAGAGGAGGCAGAGTATTTCACTGTTTCCAAGTTAAAACAACCATGACTAAGACCTGCTTCAGTCACATCAAAAATTTGCAGGGTGGGTAGATAAAGAATATGTATAACCACATGGCTACTATGATACAATTAATATTGAGGGTAGCAAGGGCTTTAAGAAAAACAAAATATATACACACACACTTCATATTTACTATATATACACATATGTTATATATATCTCATATATAGTTATATAGGTATACATAACCATATATACCTACTCTACATGTTTCCTATATATTATATATAAATGTATATTTTCTTATTTATTTACTATAGTGCTTTCTATAAGCCAGATCCTATTTTGAATGTTTTTACAAATTAATTTATTTTTAAATTCTCACAATATTGCCATGAAATACATATTATTATCATTTCCATTTTATAAATAATGGAAACTTGAAGCTTAGATATTTTAAGTAAAGTACTCACGATCAGTTAAGTTGTTGGTAAAGATTTGAATCAGGTAGAATATCTCCCATAGCTATGTTATTAATCTCTGTGCTATAAACTGCAAAGGGGATTAATAGCTGGGGAGGCTGTACTTGTGTGTAGGTATTAAGGCATGGGCAGAAATAGCTTGAACAAATCCTTTGAGCTGGGGTTTGTGCAGACTCTATGACTGGCAGGTAAAATAGCCTGGTTTGATCATGATGTAGTTTGGATGTGTGTTCCCACTGATATTTTATATTGAAATATAATCCCCAATGTTGGGGGTGGGGCCTGGTGAGAGGTAGATTTCTGACGAATTGCACCATCCTCCTTGATACTGTCTCCACAATAATGAGTGAGTTTGTGTGAGGTCTGGTCATTTAAAAGTGTGCGGCACCTCCCTGTCGCTCATTTCCTCCTGCTCTGGCCATGTGATATGGCTGTTGCTACTTTGCCTTGAATAAAACCTCCCTAAGGCCTCCCCAGAAGCAGGTGCTAGCATGCTTCCTGTATCATCTATACAGAGCCATGAGCCAATCAAACCTCTTTTCTTATAAATTACTCAGGCCCAGGTATATCTTTATAGCAATGTGAGAATGACCTAATACTGGACATAAGAAGATGATGCCTGTCTTCAGCTCTGTGAAGGGGTCATAAGGAAGATGGTCACCTTGTGAAAGGCATCATGAAGGCCAGTGGGTAGACAGTACAGGCACATAGAGACTGGCTCACCGATTATCTCCCAGTAAGGCCCACACAGGAGTGGAATCATCTGCCTCTTTTTCACCCAGCTTGGCTGTTTAAACAGTCTAGCCTGCCTGTTGATCTTGGTGGTCAAGGACATGTCTCTGGGATCTCATTAGGTTGACGTGTTTAACTCAATAGTGCTAGAACTTGAGTAACAGCCTCCTGTGCCTGAAGAGACAAGCAGTGCTCACAGATGACAATGAAGACACTAAGTACCTGTCTCAGTTGCCTACTTCTAAGAAATAAACTACCCAAAATGTGATAGTGTAAAACAGCAACCGCCTTATTGTGCTCACAGACTCTGGGTCAGGAATTGGGAAAGGGGATAGCAGGTACGGTTTGTCTCTGTTCCACAGTGTCTCAGGCCTCAGCTGAGAGACTCAGGCTGGGATAAATTGATGGTAGACGCAGAATCTTATGAAGGCTGCTTTACTCACACATCTGGAGTTGATGCTACCTGTTGGTGAGAACCTCAGCTAGGGCTGTCAATTAGAACACCCACAAAAAGCCACCTCATATGGCTGCCTGTGCTTCCTCACAGCGTGGCAGCTGGGTTCCAAGAGTTACCATCCCAACAGATGCAGATGGAAGCTGTATTGCCTTTTATGTCCTGGTCTCTAAAGTCCCACAGAGTTACATCTACTGTGTTCACAAACCCACTCAGATTCAAGAGAAAGAAACTAGACTCCCACAAATGAAATTGCCAAGGCCATTTTGTAGAAAGGAAATGTGGGATAGGAGATATTTCTGTGGACATATTTGGAAAATACAGACTCCCACATTCAGAATTCATAACAGTTGAGGCCAGCAAGCTCCACTACAATGGAGCTTGCTAAGAAATGCCAGAGGCCAGGCGTCATGGCTCACACCATAATCCCAGCACTTTGGGAGGCCGAGGTGCGTGAATCACCTGAGGGCAGGAGTCCATGCCCAGCCTGGCCAAAAGGTAAATCTCTACTGTAAATATAAAAAATTCGCTGGGTGTGGTGGCACGTGCCTGTAATCCCAGCTACTTGGAAGGCTGAGTCAGGCAAATCACTTGAACCTGGGACACGGAGGTTACAGTGAGCCAAGATCATGCCACTGCACTCAGCCTAGGTGAAAGAGCGAGACTCCATATCAAAAAAAAAAAAAGTACGATACACAGAATACTGTGTGTGATTTTTTTCAAAAAATCTAGAAAAGAAAACTACTACTTCTTAAATTATCTCTCCAGAGAATTTCAGATGATTTAATGCATTTTGTTATAAATTACCTCATATGGAATTCTTTTATCTTAAGCATAACTAAAAATATATAATAAGAATTTACACAATATATGTCATATTTTATTTATATACTTATTGTCATATATCTTTTACATTTATTATATTTATATAATATACACATGATTTCAATATTTATATTAATTTATATTTACATGTATAAACATAAATTGTGTATGAATATCTATGTAACATGTATATAAAATATAAATATGTAATAAAATGTAGTAAAAGTAGCTGAAAATGCTTGCTCATTCTTTTAAGTATTTGGTTTTTCTTAAAGAATTCACTTTTTTTTTTGAGACAGGGTCTCGATCTGTCACCCAGGCTGGAGCACAGTGGCGCGATCTCGGCTCACTGCAACCTCCTCCTCCTGGGATAAGCAATTCTCCCGCCTCAGCCTCCCGCGTAGCTGGGCTTACAGGCATGCATCATCACATCCAGCCAAAAGTTAACTTTTAATGAAAAATACTGTAATTTATATCACAGTAATACAGGAGTACATATTAAAGAAATTATAAATAGCAAAAACACTAAAAATGGCTCACTTGAATTAAATACAACTCATCAGCTTGAAAAACATCAAACACAAATAAAATGAAAAGTCAAAGAGGTACAACAGAATCTCATCTTCATGTATATCACTCACATGGTTCTTATTCTCTGAAGAAAGGATTCAACAAAAACGGAGCCTTCGTGACATAGTCAACATACATGTACTCTTTCATCCAAGATTCTTATAAATGATAATCTCAAAGAAAAGGGTGATCTTCCATGAAATATACTCCTTGAGTCTTGTCTTCCCCATCTGGCCTCCCCTTCCCTAACACACACACACACACACACACACACACACACAGGCACACACATGCCTTGTCCACTAATGATGGAGCAGCACTCATTAGCCACCTGCAGGTGCACTGACTTAGGCACATCAGATTTTACCTAGCATTTTTCACAGGAGTAAAATTATATTCACCCACACACCAAAAGGAGGTCTGCTAGGAATCTTTTAAAAACCGGGTGCTTAATTTATATGAGATGGTGTCTAGACATTTATTTTCTGGAAATATTTAACTTGGATAAGACACGTGGCCCCCAAGATGAATGCAGGATTGAAATATTTCACTTGAAAATCTGTGCAAGGAAACGTCTGGTTGAGTGCAATGAGGTTAAACATTAAAATATTTTCCTAGGATGGAAAGGTCATCCTGTTTGCTATGTGCTAAAAGCTCATGGCATCTGAATACTCCTAGTTTCCTAAGCAGTAATTGCTTTTGTTGTACCTGTATTTCTGTACTTATGTATGCATTTATGTAAGTCTATATGTGAATATCACAACTTAAACAGTTATTGGGGGAGAAATAGTACAGATAGAAATTCTGGAGATTATTTACAATGGGGGCTTTATTTGACCTTGAATTAGAAATTGTTGCTTCAGTGTCCTACGCTACAAGGGGACAAGCAAATTTTTCTACAAAGGACCAAGAACCAAATACTTTGGGTTTTGCAGGCACTACAGTGTGTCACAACTACTCAGCTCTGCCATTGTTCTATAGAAGCAGCCAAAGATAATACATACACAAGTGGGTATGGCTATGTCTCAATAAACTTTGTTCACAAAAACAGGCATTTGCCAACCCCTGTCTGAGATCAGTAGCTTTAGAATCATTTTAACTGTGACTCATAAGAAATAAATTTTATTCCATCACCCAGAATAGACATGTATATGTGTCTGTCTGTGCACTCACAAAACAATACGTACCTTTATAATGAGCATGCATGCAGATATTTTCTACTCTATCCAATTTTATTATAAATCATTTTTTAAATGCTGACAGCCACCATCTTCACTGATTTCAAGACTCACTAATGGGTCATAACCCCCAGTGTGCAGAACACTGTACTAGTCCAACTCTATGCTTGTGTTTAAAGTGAATAGCGTGCAAATAGCTAGAAGCAGACAAAGAATCACTGTCCCTCTGTTAATGAATGGGAATGTTTGCCCTTAGTCTGAAGCTTCTGCTGCCTGCTTGGGTTTTCACATCTCTGGAATCTGATAAATTGTGACCCAATAACTAGAGAGAGCATGCATTGCTGAGAATAATGAGTATAAAAGGTCTGGGTACAAGCCAGAGGACAGGAAGCTGGATGCTTATCTTCTTTTAATGGGGAATAGGGAAACATTCTTTTCGCTTCAGAATGAGTCTAGTAGAGCTAGCAGAAACCTTTCTCTAAATGGAACCAAAGTGGGCAAGAAAACAAAGAGTAAAAACGTTTCTGATGCAAGCGATTGAGCCCCAGACTTAGACTCAGATGTTGTAGTCGTGGTCCTGCTGTGGTCACCAACTAGTTGACAGTCTTGGCAGGTCACTCCTCTCTCTGGGTCTCAATTCCCTATCCTGCTAGCTGGGTGAATTTAGGCCAGCTTCTGTACTTCTCTGAGCCTCAGATTCCTCAGATGTGTAGTAGGCTGATAATGTTACCTACCTCAGAGGATTGTGATAAGGATTAAACAAGTTAATGATGTACATAAGCATTTAACACATGCCTAAAACAAAGTCAACACTTGGTGTATAATACCTGCTCAAGGACATACAAATACTTGATATATAATACTTGCTGCTATTTCCCCCATCTTTTTATTTTGAAAAGATTCAAGCAGAAAAGTTGAAAGAATAACCTAAGTAACTCCTATTTTTCCTAAACTTAGATTTACTTAATTGTTAGCATTTTTTCATGTCTTCATGTGTTCTCCCCTCATCACACACACAGTCTTTCTCTCCTCCATTAATCAATCTATCTCTATCTATCTATATGTATTTACATATATATGCTTTTAGTGGACCATTTAAGAATAACTTGCTAACATTAAGACACTGCATTCCTAAATCATTCAACATGAATCTCTCATCTCTTACAATGATATTCTTTCTCACAATATCATTATCAGACACAAGAAATTTAATTTTATAAAATATTATTTAATAAACAGTCCACATTCAAATTTCTCCAGTAATGTTCAGAACCCAAACGAGTATCGCACACTGCATTTGACTGCCAGATCTCCTTAGTTTTATG